AGCTCATTATTTTTTTTCTTAGCGGCTATAACAAGATATTTTCTGAAAGAGGAGAAGTAGAGCTTTATATAGTATTATTTATATTGGCTTGATTTAATTTTTTTCATTTTTTGTGAGACGGTTGTGGATTTGCTGTGTTCCGTGAACAATTAGAAATCTTTTTGATACTTATATTTTTTGCTATAAATATATACGGCAAGATAGGAAAAATTTAATTTTTGAACTGAAATGACACTGATGACAGCGCACTAAACCACTGAGCTATCAAAGATATACGTTGAGAAGAAAAACAAACTACTTTATAAATCCCTTATTAGCTTTAGGTTTATGGAAAAGGTGCACATGTTAATTTTTTCTGCTTTTGAAGCAGTTTTTTGGAATGAATTATTTTACTAAAATATATTGAAGTAAAAAAGGAATAAGTATAGAAATGGTTGGTTTGGTTAAGACCTATATTTTATAGGTCTGGACAACTAGTTTATATATATATATATATATATATATATATATATATATATATATATATATATATATATATATATATATATATATAAAAGGTATAAAGGGTATTAACAATTAGTTAAAAAAAATTATGAAGTTGTATTATGACTTGCAAGAAGTTCCTTTTAAAAACCTTTATTAACTCTAGCAAAATTGTTAGAGTTTAAAAGTCAAGACACCAAAATGTTGGAAACATGTAATGTTTACAGGCGAAAGTGCGTTTCAACAAATGAGGCAAGGGCTATAGTTATTTTACAAGAACTGTGGGAGATTGCCTGAATCCGAGATATACCATAAAATTAGTCAAGCATCCTCCTGAAAAGGCAAAAAAGTGAATGCACAAAAGTATCAGTGTTGAAAGATAAAGTGAAACTGCATATGGAATTTACCATATTTCAGCAAGATTCAGCACCATGTCACACAGCTAAAATATTTGTTTACTGATAATAATAAAATATTACCCAATCAGTCCTCAATTTCACCTGATCTTAATTTCACCTGATCTTAATTTTAAGTGAGTGTGGACTAATGTAATCACACTAGAATTTTGTAAAACATTGCATAATATGCCAAGAAGAATATAAGCTGTGCTTGAAAATAAGAGACATTCAACCAAGTATTAAAATATAACATTTGAGTCAGTTAAGCTGTATTTTTGCTATAAATTCTCCAAACATTATTGCATACAGGCCTGACATACTGCAATGCTTTTATTAACAAATAATCTTATGATTTTTAGTAACTGAATGAAAAAAATTGTATTGTTTCTGTAAATAAATAAACATATAAATTAATTTGAACTTAAATATGGCAATAAGTTTAAATTTGATTTTAAATTAAGTAAAGCATTTTCTTTTCATGAACTTAGATTGGGATTTTTAAAGTAAAAAAAATGTTTAACAGTTTATTTTTTATCAAAAAATTTAATTATTTCACAAACTTTATTAACATGTTATTTACATTAATTAATTACAACTTAACATTATCAAAATTAATGCTCCGTAAACAATATAAAAAAAACACATATATTTCAAAAGATAAATTTATATTTAGCAAAAATTTTGCTAAATATAATTCCTGAAATGATTTTATATCTCTAAATCTTGTACACTTGGTCTTTTAAATTGAGCTTATTAATATAGACATTTTATTCCTTTAATTTGACTCCAAAACATGAACAATTTGACCAGGGTTGGCTGATTTAAATCACATCGATTTAAATCAGTGATTTAAATCAAGATTTAAACCAAAAGATTTTTTTGGATGACTAATGATTTAAATCAAGTTTTTCTTTTATGTTTGATTTTTGAATAATAAAAATTTATTTAAAAACTATTTTTGTCATATTTAAAAAAAAAACTAATTAAATGTAACAGAACTATGTATTTATAGAAATAATGACTCAAAGTATACAATAAAAATAAATAAAACAGTTAATGCTACAGTGCACAAAACAAATTAATAAACATAATTATCAATTAAAACTAAAAAAATTTTATCCTGTGTGCAGCATTAAAATTAATCATCAACATCAAATTGAATAATTTTCTGCTGATTAATTGCCTTGAATAGAAACACAAGCTTAGCAGCTTTTTCTGTACCCAATCTACTTCTCAGTTTTGAATGTACCAAGCCGTAAGAGGAGAACACACGTTCAACTCCTGCAGATGAAGCTACCGCAGTCATCAATTGCAAAATTGTATTTAATGTTTTACTTTCAATGTTATCGCGGTGTGATCTCCACCACTGAACAGACGATAATTCTGTTAAAACCTCTAATCTAAATTCAAATTCCAGGAATGGGTATGACTTTCCTCTAAATTTCATAACTGTAGGAATAATATGTGGGTATTGTAGATTGGCATATTCCAAAGCAGTATTTTTTTCAATTTCATTCAATTTTCTACCTTGGTAATGAGGGTGAAGAAGATTAGCCAGAAAATGGGATGGTGTCATTGCCTTGTCGTATCTTTTTTTGAATTTATTTTGGATAACTTTCTCACTTTTACACAAAAGTTTGTTTTCTAGATTTTTCCATACTTCCACTACATACAATTTTGCATTTGTCACTTTGTGCTTTATCAAGTGCAAAAGCAATAGGTTCTAAGCGAGCAAGTAGATCTTCTGCAGATCTCTTAATGACTAAGTTAGAGACATTTTGTTGCACTGTAGTGTCAATTATGGCCCGATTAGACTCACAGATTTTTAGCAGAGTTGACCAATTTGCAATATACAGTTTTAGACACATGGTATTCCAGCGAGTATCTTGAGGCAATACAAGTTTTTGTCCACCAGCTTTTCTATATTCTGCCAAAGCAAAATGGTGGTTCCTAAAATATTTGACAATATTTACTATATGATCTTTAACATTGTCAATTTCTAGGTCATGTGCTAACAAATTCATTAAATGTGCAAAGCAACCATATGTAACTACATCAATATCTGATCGAGATTCAATATTATGCCTCATTTTTGATACATTAGCTGCATTGTCAGTCACAATACTTCCCACACGACACCCAAATTCAAGCTCTATATTTTTAATTGATGAAACTGCTAGTTCTTCAAGATATTCAGAAGTGTGCGGGCTTCCAGATGTGTCAATTGTGTCAGCTAAATAGACATCACTTGTTTCAGTTGTAACTGTAACACAAATTATAGGCTCCTTATGAACGTTTGACCAACCATCCAGTGCTATATTTACAATCTCTCCATTTAGAGCGTTTTTAACGTTACCCTTTTCTTTATCAAACACTATTGTTAGGAGTTTGTCAGCTACGTCCTTTCTTGTTGGGCCAATATAGCCTGACCTCAACATCAACATAAGTTTTTGGAATTCTGGATGTTCAACTAATTGAAATGATGAATTTGTTGCAAAAATCATTCTTGCAATCTGCTCATCAAATACGGCCTTTTGACTCTGACTTGTTCTAACAACATGTGACAATAATCCAGAGCTTATATTTTTATTTATTGGACCATTATTATTTATATTTTCAGTCCGTGATTTTTTTGCTGATACATTTAAATAACATTTTTCTGCTAAAACAGATGATTCTGAGGGATGCTTTGTAACATCAAATTGAATATTGGAAGAAGTAGTTTGAAATTCAATTTCTAAAAAAATACTTTGAATTAAATAATACTAATTAAAAAAATAATTAATTATTATAAAGTGTACATTATATCACCTTCTGTATTATTTTCGTGACAACATTTATTTAAGTGTACTTTCATTCTTGCCACCAGACCCTGCAGTTCTTTTTTGCATATCCTACATCTTGCTTTACATCCCTTCCCACTTTTTGTTTCAAGCTTTTCAAATTTGGACCACACTGAGTGAGATCTTCTTCCAGACATATTTTTTTGTTTTTGTTTAGTATGTTTTAAATATTTTTGTTTCTGCAAAAATATAGCTAGAGTTTTAAACCATTTAAGAGTAATATTTTTTTGACTAAAAATTTTGACAAACAGTCAATATTAAATTAGTAGCCTTGTTTGTCAAATTATTTGACAAACAAGGCTACTGCACAGAAACGTTACAAGTAAGTTTTTGTTTGAACAGGATTGAGGTGACTGTATAGGTCATTGATCGGGGTACCTGCCCTATGATTGAGTCAAGTTCTCTTTCACTTGGACCTTGATCAAAGTACCCAAAAATATTAAACATAAAAACCATCACCAACACCTAACAGTTTAATATATCTTTTACAAATATTTGTGGTCTTCGAAGTAGATTTAAGTTACTTCGAAGCTTAGTTCAATTAGTTAAACCACTGAGTCCTCTACTTTATATCTTTTTGGATGATCATTCACAACTAAACTCTCATAGAAGTTACATAAACAATCCATTGCAAAGTTAGGTTGCTTCTCTTTATCATGCTTGTATGTAATATTGCTGTAATATTTGGGCTGGTTTTCCTCATGATGCTCTTTCTTTTCCTGACAAGGTCCAAAAAAGCTTTGTAAATTTTAGATCTGCAATATCTTTTTTTTTCCTTGCACTTCAAAGTTTAGTAACTCTCTCCCATTTTTATCCTGATTTATACAACCTTTTACATCTTCATCATACCATTATACATCTTTTCAAGTCTTCTATCAACCATTTCCTTGCTCTTTAAATCTATTCTTTATTTTTTAGTAACTCTCAACATAACAGTGTTTGCTTCCTGCCTTGTTGGAAGTGAAATAGTAGAAAAAAAAAGAAAAGCGAATAATAGTACCAGGTCATAATGGGATTTGAACTTTTCAAGTTTAAAAAAAAATAGAAACATAATTAAGCACTCAAATTATTATTAATTCAGTGAACTGTTAGAAACAATACTCTGTTTAATTCAGTAAACTGTTAGAAACAAAACTTTGCTGTTTCTAATGATAATGATTTCAAAATAAAATCATTTAGTGCAATTAACATTTTTTCAGTTTAATGTTGTTGTTTTCTTAAAATTAATTTAGGCTCCTTGGATATTAAATATTTTAATTATTCAAGCCTTCTTTAGTTTTTTATTGCCTTGGTTTGGATGGGTTGATAAGACATCACCAGAATGGTTGGCTGGTGTTCATTTGATTGTATCTCTTTTTTTTTATGACTCCATGTTTACTTTTGGTAAGTTATTTTGTTTGTTTAAATATTTATTAATCTTTTATTTTACTGTTCTGTTTTAGCTGATATAATAAGTTTCTTTGTTGTTAATAATAGATGTACACATTGATTATTTTTTGTCACATGATTTTGTCTGCAAGCAGTTTAAGAAAATTATTTTGACTATTTGACATACAATATAGTATAACAAATTTTAAAATTTTTTGGTTTGTTAAAATTTAATTTAGAACATATTTCTACATCTAATTTTTTTTTTCCTTGTGAAAATGCTTTTAAAATCAAAATACCAAACTAAATAAAAATACCAATTTTTTAAATTGAATAAGTTTTTTCTTGACAAATTTAGTTATGAAAACACATTTTTAAAAATTTTGATTCAAATGTTTTTATTATAGCACTAAGAGTTTAGATTAGAAATAACAATTAACATTTTAAAAAAATTTGCATTTTAGTATTACTTGCTCAATGTAGTTTGTTTACTGAGATATCAAGAAATCAATCAGATAGGCAGACCTTGTTGTTTTATAGGTAAGCTTTTTGATTATCTTGTATTTTATATATATATATATATATATATATATATATATATATATATATATATATATATATATATATATATATATATATATATATATATATATATATATATATTGTTTTCGTTTTTTAAAACATGTTTTTAAAACATGCGCAGAATGTTGCTATGTTGACTATCTCATAGCCTGCTGCTACAAGGGAGTGCTGCTACATAGGTTGAGGATTTGGTTTGGGCAAGCAGTCTATCCTTTGAAAAAAAGGTTTTCTGGTCTAATTTGTTTGCGTTCTCTTTAAAACTACAGTTTATGGAAGAAACTTTCCGACAACCATGCAATACTTAAAAATAAATAATTAATTTAGAAAATCGGAAAAAGTTTAAAAAATTTTAAAAGCTTTTTTTTTTTAAATTGATGGATTACCTGCCAAAACCTTTAGTCAATATAGCAGTACTGGTTGCATGTTGTACCTATTTGTCAGTCGATGTAGCAACAATCCTCACATGTTTACCTATTTGTTAGTTGTTGCAGCAGCAACTCCTAACATGACTACCTATTTGTCAGTCAGTGTAGCAGCACTCCTTGCATATTCTACATATTTGTCAGTCAATGGATGTAACAGTAAAAAATAAAAACAAAAACATTCATAATGTTTTTACTTTTTTTAATAAATTAAAAACATTCTGAATGTTTTTAAAAACATTCCAGTTTATTAATTTGTGTTTTTATGCTTTTTTTAAAAAACAATAAAATTTAATTAGTTTACTTTAATTGATTTTACTGGTTTCAACATAAAGTGTACTCGATTTTGTTTTTTTTTAATGTAAAGAGTCATTAAGAGCTGTTTTTTACCACGAAAGGTTAATTTAGATGTCAAACTATAGGAAAAACGTAACATAATAATTTTTAAATAAATTTTTTAGTTGTTTTCTCACATTTTAATCTATGAGAAGAGACTTATAACGTTTTTACCTAATGAGTTAATTAGCAAAGGATAAAAAGTGTTCACATATTTTTATTGCTTATTTCATTTTATTTTTTAAATTTTGTTTCTATGTTTTAGGTTTTTTTTTTTCCATACATACATTGATTGACTTAAATAAATAGCATGTGGAGAGTGTACATACATTGACTGACTTATATCGGTAGCATGTGCAGGGTGTACATACATTGACTGACTTAAATAGGCAGTATGTGCAGAGTGTACTTACATCAACTGAGAGTTTTGGATTGGACAGGCCATCTTTATGCCAACCCAAAATGCTAGTTAAAATTAATTATGTATAAAGTATTATTTACTAAAAAAAGTTATAAGTTCAAGTAGTAAAATGACAAGTTTAAGTAGTAATAGTAAGCAACCAAGGTCGATATTTGAGTGGGGCAGGGGCTGGTTTTGTGACTGGGGCTGCATAAACATTTATGCATCCTAAAGTATATCTCTTTTATTCAAAATTTATGTTACATTTTATATATATATATGCATAAACATCATTATGATCAACATGATCATCATAATCATCATTACCATCATGATCATGATCAGGATTATCATCTGATCATCTTCTCTTTCGGCAAATACTACACCATAAAATTACGTAAGGATATTGTATGCCAGCATCTAAATAAATAGCAAATCTATATTTTTATATCCATAATATGTAAGTATAAAGTGCATCTTGGAATGCTTTTATTTCTTCTCTTCAATTTTAAGTCAAACCTCATTCTACTCCATATTTTTCACCATCTTGAGCGGTTGCTTAATTAAACTTTAATCATTTTTCATCTTTTTTACAAGATGAAAAAAATCTCTCTTTAGGACAAATGTCCTCATCTTATTCCAAGAAGCCAATATAAAAAGGTCCTGTCTGATGTTAAACTGAGTTATTCTCAGTTTACTAAATCTTGTATCTTATCTCAGATTTTATGTTTTAGAGACTTTTGGTTAGTCTTCAACAGTGTCATTAACTAAAGTAAGTCTAACATTTAATCTCTAATTCATGGGTCTGATCTTTTTACTTTTCCCCAGAATAAAGCAGAGTTGTTTTCAAAGAAATCTTACTCTAATTTGAATCTTGAATCTAATGGCTATACTCTTCCTGACAGTTAAACAGATTAACTCATTGTTAAACATTAAAATCATTCTGGCTTCCTAAGCTAAAACTTCTACAGTTTGTGCTCCAGACAAGATTTTCATCATATTCTCCAGAACTCTCTTCAATTTTTGCTAATTTTTTAAAAAGTACTAAATAAGTGGTTCCGATTTTTCAAAACTCTAGAAAACACTTTGACCTCTCCAACTATCCTACAATTAATCTTTACTTTGTTATTAATTTCTTTATATAAAGGTTTTGAGATTATTTATTTCTAATTGCAATATTAAAGTTATTCTTGAAAACCTTCTTTATTTTAAGTAACTTTAAGGTTACTACAAGGTTCTATCTTTACTCCTGTATTGTTTCTTATCTACAATATTAATCTTCATGAAATTTGACATTAAAGTGGCTCTAATTGCTGACGACTCAAATTTATATTCTAGCCTTGACAAAAAATCTTCACTTTTTGATTGCTTTGAACAAACAGCCAATTTTTAATCTGATCTCTCCTCTGTAACAGCCTAAAGCTTGCAGCGGCTTATGTATTTAAAATTTTTGACTTGAAATCTACAATTTTTGTTAGACAACAAAACTCATTTATTTACTGCAAAAAAATATTGCAATAATGGTGGCATTCATATATTGATGAATAACAACCCTCTTACTCTCAGACAAGTCTAAAAGCACATTTTAAATGTAATTAGACCTGCTTTATCTGGCAAGCTTGAGCCACTCTCCCATTGTTGTAAGATTGCATTTCTTTTTTCTACAAATATTATCATGGTTAATGCTCAAACGAGCTATTATTTCTACTTCGATAAACCAAAACTCATTCTTGCTTGGCTTCTTATTTTTCAAGTTGCATCCTTTTACTATATCTGTCCCTTTATGCTATAAAAACTTTTATTAATCCATAATAATTTTTTTCCTTGTACAATAATAATTTTTTCCCTTGTACATCAAAAAACCCTTATAATTCTCACCTATCTTTATGTTTTCCTTTTATATACAACTTAGAACTATTTAAGTCTTCAGTTAACTATTTCCTAATTTTTTAAGTTATTCTCTATTTTAAGTAACTCATAAACTATTAGTAATTGCAATCAGGGTCATATATACTTCCAACAAGATTGCTTTTTGGAAGTAACCCTGACCCTGTAAATTAGAGTTTAAAATCATATAACCCTGTAAATTAGAGTTTAAAATCATATAAATATATGCCAATATTTAATAAATAGTAAATGTAAACATAAAATTATAATATATGAAGAATTTTTTTCTAGCCTCAACTATCAACCCCTGCTAAATTTTATAATTTTGCCGGTGCTGGAGCGAAGTTTGAAAAAGTCTCATTTTCAGCCGGGGCCAGGGCCCTGGTCACTTACTAGGTAGTAAAATGACATTCCAAGTGGTAAAACAACAAAATTCTCAATGAAAAATGACAAGATTTTGCCACAGTAATATCTAGTAATAAATGAAACTTTTGTTCTGAAACGACATTTTTATGAGGGAAAATACCATGGTTAATTTTATTATTATCACTAGCTGTCCAGACCTGTAAAATACTGCTCTTAGTAAATACTTATTCCTTATCCTAATTTAAGAAATAAAATAGTCTGTTTTCAGCATTAGATGAACAGATTTATCTAATTAAATAGGTAAACACAACATTAAATAAATCTCTAACATAGATGACAATTGTGTGACATTTCTGATGGTGTTTTTTGAAATTTAAGGCTTTAATAAAATTTCAACACTTTAGTTAAAACTATATGTATTTACAAAGCAAAAGAGGACCTGGAAAATGGGTCCCAGGGAGCTATGTTTGTAAAAAGTTAACTCTATTTGTTAGACTTTTCTTATAGCAACTTTTCTGCGATAAACTTTCAATGGAAAAAAACTTTTAGCTGTTTTAATACCAAAATTGGTTGATATTTAAAATATGATATAAATAAGGAAGATAGTAAACAGAACTTTCATAGGGGGAGGGGAGGATTAAGAATTAATTTGAAATCTTTTTGTAAGCTATGTGTCTGAAAAATACTGTCAGAAATGACAGTATTTTTCAGACTCTCACAAGTGGCTTAAGCAATGTGATTAACAACTTAATGACATTGATAATGTTGTTTAAATTTTCTGAGGATTTACTGTATTTCCCAATGTCACTGGGAAATACAGTACCAAGTGCAGTTTTGGTAGCAGCTTTGATACTTAAATTGTTCATTTTCGATAAATAGTATACATTTTATCTAATTATTCAACCAAAAGTTTAAAAATTACAAATTTTATTTTAATTTTACAAAATTAGTTTAGGTGTTACTCATATAGTAAAAAACTAGTCATTGGAGTGACACCTAAATAAAATATATAGTAATAAATTCTATATATAGTATAAGTTATATATATAGTAATTATATATATAGTAATATATTAGTAATTATATATAATAAATTTTTATAGTAAATTATATATAGCCATTTTATAGTGAATTGTTTATAGTTTTATAGTAAATTAAATATTATTAATTTTTTTTGAAAAAAACAAAAAAATAATAATAGAATTAAACATAAAACAATTTTAGTATATAGATAACACAATAGCTCATTAATTTAAAAACTTTAAATTTAAAAAACAAACAGGTTTGAAAAATCAAGTGCAACACAACTCTCAAGAAATTGAAAAATTAAAACAGAAAAAAGTACAATAAAAAAAAGATCATGAAATGCATATTAAAAAAAATATATTGAATGTCAAAACCCTTTTAAAATTTATACAAATTTAGGCACAGATAAAAATCTTCGATTTGATATATATTTATAATAACAATATATAAATATAGGTATAAGCAAATTGAAACAACAATTTAGTTATATAAATATATAAATTGTGTATATAAAATATATAAATTGTGTATTCAATACTGTTAAACTATATTATATATTGGTATTGGGTTGGTTCAATGCAAAATTTATGATATTGAGCCAACCCAATACTGGTATTTTATAAAAAAATTGACAAATGCAGGATTTTTAATGATTTTACATGACTGTTTATGCCAGACCGAAAATCAAAATTCATTAATATATATTGATCTTTAAACATCATTATCAATGTCAGTAAAACAAAAAAACAATGGGAGACTACATTTGGAGAGTTATTCTTAAAATTAATTATAATACATTTGCAAATCTACTTTTTGCTTTTTGTATGCTTTTTTCTATTCAATATGTAATAGTTAGTTAGTGGTAAACTGAGTGAATCTTCTCCACAAGCTGAGACATAGCAATGTTCAGCCCAGTACTTTTTTTTTAACCAAAGTTTTTTCATTTTTTGTCAACTTTTTGTCCAGGCTTGCTTTGAACTTGTTCAAATCGAGCCTTGAACCTTGGGAGTTATGGTGGTGTCCTGAAGTTGTAAATAGGAGACTCTGAGTTGCTTGATTTTTTCAGTATAGCTGTCATCAAGTGCATTTCCAAAACAAGCATGGACAATACCATTCAGTTTTCTTAGCTTTTCAATCAAGGGAGCTGTAAAAAAAGAGTGCTGCTGGACCTATTTCTCCAAAGTATCCACATTCTTCAAAAGTTTCCTTCACTTATTTCCAGCATTGAGTACCTGAGAATCACTTCTGATTAATCCAAAAGTTCTTAGAGATCCATACCTTGCAAGATCTTTTAATGGAATGTCACACCGAGAGCATAGATGTGCATTAGAATGTGCTTGTAGACAAATGATATTTCCCAGCTTCATATGACAGGAATAAATAAAGGGAAGTTCTTCAAGGTTCAACAGATCAAAAACTTGTTTGACATTGCTATAGTTTTCCTGGAGATCTCTGGACACCAGAATCTTTAGCCAGAGAAAAGGTGAGAAGTTATTTTGATGGCAGAGATTGTGAAGTTAAATCTTTTTTCATGATTCCAAAGCTTATCCACTCCCAGCTTCACAATGCAGTCATCAGAGAGGTTTTTAGTTTCAAGAGCTTGCTGACAAATGTCTTTGCAGTGGTTGACAATTTAAAAAACCTGATTTGTACTCTTGTTAGTTGCAACTTTGATCCAAGTTTTTGAAAAATGACTATAAAGTTTTTTGCTTAACTGATCAAACTTGGAGCGGATGTTCTTCTTAACATTCCGACTTGGAATAACTTGATTTAGTGTTAAAACCAGCCTTTTCCCACTAGAATTGGACAGCCCTGTGTTGTTTTGCACATAAACAAGACCAGATTTAGGGAATAATATCCCAAAAACCATCAATGATAGTACAAACAAACCTCCTGAAGATTTTTCCTGGTCATGATATCAAGCAATGATTGATTTTTTACAACAGTGACAGATTTATGTATAAGATGTACTATGAATGTAGTAAAGCATTATAATAATATTTATTTAATTTTATAATAACTAGATATATATATATATTTTTAGTCAAATAGGATCCATCATAGGCTCTTCATCTGTTTTGTTGACTGAAGTCATTTCAAATCATGTGAGTAACTTTTTTGAAAATCTAAATTCATAGCTTAGAAATTATTGCTAAATTTTTAATTACTGTATAAATATTTATTGTTATAATAAGTGAAGTAAAACTTTATTGGTTTAAGACTTCATTACATTTAATATGGTTATAATTGAAATAATTATCTATTTTTGTTTTATTTTATATATATATATATATATATATATATATATATATATATATATATATATATATATATAAAAATATATATATATATATATATATATATTACTATTTTTTAAATTTCAGATGCAAAACATACACAATTTTCAAATCACTTGTGTTGTAATTGCATTAATAAGTTGGTGTTTGATGTCATATACAGGCTATAACATAAAAACTTCTGTTAATCGGTCTTCAGATGATGAGATGGATTCTAAAAATAGTGAGTTAATTTCTATTATGCATTAAACATACATAATGCAAAAAAATAAATAGTACAATTATTTTTTACTAAATTTCTATAAAACTATGATTTTCTAAGTTTTTAGAAAATCATAGTTTTATTTCTTAAAGAAAAAATGTATCAGTTATATAAAAATAGCATAATATTCACAAATTGTTCATATGTATCATATTCACAAAAAGTTCATATGATATCAAAATATCATATTTGCTTATAAAAATGCCTGAATAGCCGCTTTGCCTGAATAGCCGCTTGCAGAATAGCCGTGCCTTGTCTTGTTTTACTGTACTCTCATGCAACTCCGTTTCTATCAGACCATCCAGTAAGATCAGTTTAAATTTAGATTCATATATTTAGATATTCTCATTTACTGTACTCTCATGCAACTCCGTTTCTATCAGACCATCCAGTAAGATCAGTTTAAATTTAGATTCATAACTCCAAATTACATTTTTGTAGTTTGTGTTTTGTGAGCATGTCCACATACTTATTTGTGGTATTTTGTGGGCATGTCCACATACTTATTTGTGGGCATGTCCACATACTTATTTGTGGGCATGTCCACATACTTATTTGTGGGCATGTCCACATACTTATTTGTGGGCATGTCCACATACTTATTTGTGGGCATGTCCACATACTTATTTGTGGTATTTTGTGGGCATGTCTACATACTTATTTGTGGGCATGTCCATATACTTATTTGTGAGCATGTCCACATACTTATTTGTGAGCATGCCCACATACAAAGACATAAAGCAAAAAATAATCTTAGCTTTATGTCTTTGTTTCATGAGTCAAATAAGATTTTTTTTGCGATACAATCTTAGTTTTTATTTAAGATAGATTAGCTAGAATCTTGGTTTTGAGCAGCATTTTAAGCAGCTTCAATTCTTTTAAAATAATTCTTTCAATGGAAGCAGAAGTTTTTTTCCAGAAAATATTAGTTGTAGTTCTGATAGAGATTTTTTCATTTTGTTTGAAAAACACTTTTTCATAATGTTTGAAAAGGAATTCCAGTCTTCTCACCAACTTTTCTGTTTTTCATTTTCACATGTTGCTCTAAATTAATTGATTTGAAACAAAAATTTTTAGCAAACTTAAACAAAATCTTATGTGTTAAATATAATTTTAGAACTTAATAAAGTTTAAATTTGTTATTGTTTGTCTATTTTTTGCCCACTGTAATTCTTCCCTCTTATTTTGCCCATTGTTAGTGTTTCTGAGATTTTTTTGCCCAATGTAGTTTTGATCTGACAAATTTGCAATAATATCTCAAAAATTTTTTTTTTTTAATTTCTGAAAATTTTTTTGAGCAATTTAAAAGTCTCCAGCTAGAGTCTATTTTTTATGCTTTTTAAGAGCATCTTTATATTTCATAGAAATTTAGGGTTCTATTTACAATGTAGTTCGAAACTTCAAGCTTTTATGAAACTGAAAGACTCAATAGCAACTCAAGGGTTTGTTGTTTAAAATTAAAAAAAAAAAAAAAAGATAAGCTGCCAAAGTTTTTAAATAAAAATAAATTATTTAAAAACTTTTTTTCTTATATTTTTGATTTTTAAAGAAACAAAAAAAAAGCTGCTGCATAAAGGTTTTTCAAAATTTTATCTAAAATAAATTAAAAAAAAACAACATTTTTTAATTAAATTTTTATGTTTTTGTTCAATCAGATTAAATTAAAACAGCAAATTAAAAACAGAAGAAAATATGATTGTTAAAGTACAACTATTTGTCAAACAAAACAAATAGTTCCTAATCTCTATAATTGAGACAGTTTAGTCTATTTAGGAAAGATTGAATCAATTGTAATAGCATATAATAGTTTAATTATGACAGGCATTTTTTAAACTTACTGGAATACCATCTGGTATGGTTACTGTCTGGTGGTATTGTTACTGAATAACGTCTGGTATGGTTAATAACCATTTTTTGAAGAATTTTTTTTTTACGATTCAATAGAAGCAACTATAAAGTTCAATAAAGTTTTGCATATAAGACTACTGAAAAGCCTAAAATGTATTTTATAAACTGCAATCTTCTAAATTGGGTTCTTCTTGAGCGTTTTGACCCAATTTAGTTTAAAGTAATTTTTTTTAGATAACTTGGCCGTGTTTTTATATAGTACGCACTTTAAGAATTTGCAACAAAAAAAAAGCTATAAGAAACTGCAGAGAATAAAACAGCAATACTCAAAGAAAGAAAATAAATACTATTTGAAATATAAAATCTGAATAAATATACCAATATATTTTGCTGTTTTTTTACTTTTTTTGTTTTTAGGGCATTTGTTATTTTCCACTACCAAAATTGATTACCAAAGTCAAGTAAAAAAGCATATAAGAACATAACAAAAACAAAAACATTTTTTGATATACAATTTAATCACTACTTTTGTCAGTCAGTATATTAAGGAAATACTTTATTTTTTGTGCTAGAAATACAGACAATTTTAAAATTTCTTTTTCAAATGTTTTTTCTAAACTTTACTGTTTTTATCATTGCACAGGAAAGTAACAAAACTAACTACTGTTTATTTGTAAAAAATTTTTTTTCTTTTTAAACAAGTTTTTCATGTAAAAAAATTAAAAGTTGTTAATACTAATGTTCAAATGTAAAACATTTGGTTATTTTCACTACCCCCATTAATATATTATGCAATTTTGTTGGGTTTTCCAAATTGTGTATTTAAACCCGATAGTTTATTTCCTGATGAACTATTGTTATTGACAATGCTCCAAAAGCTTGTGGACTAATGTATTGTTAATTACTGAGCTTTTTTAATGAAATTTCTAATTATCCACCAACTAAATGTAATTAATGTATCCAAGTCTCTGCTTTCGGGCAAAGAAACTCTTAATAATTTGCTATCACAAAATAGAAAACATTTCATAATCCAGCATTTGTACATAGGGGGCTTGCACAATACAGAATTTTCTAACCATTTAATGCAATAAAATGGAAAAGGTATTTTACTTGCCAAAGCAGCACACAAATAAGTAAAGTTACTGTGATAAACACAATCACATGTTTCAAGTAGTGTGTCTTTGCACGTAAGAATATATGTAGGCCTTAATTTACAAAACTTACTTAATTTAGTTGTTTTGCCTGCACTCACCTCACAATACAGTTGATGCAGCTCCTTTAAATTCATAACTAAGTAGCACTTTTGAACTTTTTTTCTCTTATGCAAACTGCCATGGTCAGTGTGTCTAAAAAAATTACTTTAAATATGGACAAACAAGGCGTGCAACCGCACGCACTTCCTGGGAAAATTGCTACAGTAACTAGATTTTAGAACTTGTAATATAATTATATCTTGTTTATAAGATTTATATTAGTTAATTAGATCTTGTTTATTGAATATTTGTGTAACTTAATTTAATGTTTATGTAGTGTAAGTGTAACCTCTTATACTAATTCACATGAAAAAAATATAAAATGACTTATATAAAACAAAATAAATAAAAAATAGTAATAATATATAATAATAATTATGTATATATTTATTAAATATTAAATTTATTTACACTAAAGTATTTATCTCCCAGTGCTGAAATAACACTTCTATGAAGATGGTTATGCCTTTTTTTGAAAAATCTTTTGTAATTAGTTACAATTGCTGCAATATAATTAAATTTATATATTTCTTTATTATCGTTAATTCCCGGTAAGTCGAACACCGGTTAACTCGAACTTTTGTTATCTTGAACTTTTCACTTGAAATTGTTTAACTGATTACTATTAAAATTCTCCGGTTAAGTCGAACATCAGATAACTCGAACTTCATTAAGTCGAACCATTGTCCCTATTTGGCAAATTTCTATAACTCAAACTTTTTGTATGGGAAATAATGAAATCAAAATAACTTTATTAAAATTTTTTTTAAGAAGTCATTCCATATAAAACATAAAATACTTTAGGTAAGACATTGAATTGCATTTTTTTGCTAAAGCTTTTTGAATATTATTTTTTTTAATTTACAGCGTGAATATTTGCTTTTTAAAATCAAAGTTTGTAACATGGTGACAATTGCAACTAAGCAAAAGTTGAATACAAAAGCTGTTAAAGTCAAATACAACGCACTGAAGGAAATATTAGATGGCATCTCAAAGTCAAAGGTCGCTTTAAAATACAATATACCAAAGAACACCTTATCTACCTGGTTGAGAAACAAGGAAATGATTTTTGATGCTGTGGAGAAAAGAAATAACTCAAAACGTCAGCGTATGAGGAAAGAGTCATTTGCAAATTTGAAAGCCATTTTCAAATGGCTTCTGGTTGTCTGTATCAGAGATGTGACTGTATCTGCTTTAATTCTCACAACTAAAGCCATGGAATTTGCTGAAAGAATAAATGTTACAAATTTACATGCTTCAGATGGTTTGTTAGACCATTGGAAAAAACGATACAACATGTCATTTAAAACGGTTTCTCGTAAAGCTAATGTGTGTACAAGTGAAATGGTAGCACCATGGGAGGAAACTATGTTACCAACCATTTTATCAAAATATAAGTTGAACCAGATAATGCTGACAAATTTGGGTTGTTTTATCGATTCCAACCAAATAAATCTTAGATTCCTTTTGAGAATCTCAAAGGCTAGTTACAAAAGCTTGCTGTTCATATATACGAGTTCTTCTCTGAAGGAACAACAGCAAAAGATGTTGTTTCCATGGATGATTTTGTCAACACTGCCTAGCCGATAATGAATGATGAGGAGATTTTATCAGACATTTTAGGAAAAGAAAATTTTGAGGCTGAAAAAGATGAAGATAGTGATGTAGATTTTTTGATTGAACCCAATTTGCCCTCGATTGGGTGATCATTAAGCCCTGGAAGTACTCTGAAGCTACATGATATTCAGTGATAAATGGGGAGTGTATTCATAAATGTATAAACCAAATAAACTTAATTGTGAAAAAAGAATTATCAGAGAAGCTGTTACAAGTGGATATACGTAGCTTCTTTCAATGAACTTTTTTCACACTTTTATTACTATAATAATGTATATTTAATTTTTATACTTTAGCATTGAATAAATAAAAATCGCCTTAACTCGAACTAATATCTGATTTCTGTCAAAGTTCGACTTAATGGGACTTCGCTTAAGTTGAACATTTGTTAAGTCGAACCATTTGCTTGATCCCTTGGAGGTTCGAGTTATCGGGAATTAACTGAATTTATATATTTTTTAATTATTTATATTAATTTTTTATTTTTAGGAGTAGAAAACTGGAAAACAGCAATGAAGACATGGCTTGAAATTCTCAAAAATAAAAACTTTAGTAAAGCAAACGTTTTTTATTATGTTAAAAAGTTTTAAAAATATTTATAGCTTTTTCAAATTTTTTTCACATTAATTGCTTATATTGTATTGATATTAATTGCTTTTTTTCACATTAATTGCTTATATTGCTCTTGGGTCCTTTTTGGCGAAATTAATTTTGATTTTGTATTCTTTATACTTGTTATATTGACTAACGGCAAAGGTTGTTGCATGTAACATTCTGTTAATAATTTACTCATAAAATAAATGAGTGATTTATTAACTTAATGCTAAAAAAAGTATCCAGCCCTCAAGCTTATTTATGCTAAATTTCTACTAGAATCAAAAATAACATACAGTTTCAGTTAGAAATAGTTCCAATTAAAAAGATTTGAAGCAATTTTTTGTTGTTCAATTTTTTTTCAATGAATTCACTCCCAACAAGCAACCACTATTTAATTTGGGATCAACCACTAAGTTGCAAGCAACCACTATTTAAGTTGAGATTTAACAGAAAGGCTGCAAGTAACATTTGAGTTTGGAGTCAACAGAAAGGAAAGAAATGCCTTGAAAACTGTAAGTTGTATGGGTCAGAAAAACATGACACAAGAGAATTTTAAGCACCGATGTTCGAGGAAAAAAATAAATAAATGACAGTTTTTTTGAGGATGAAGAAACAGTTAGAGTAAAAGTATGCAACTTTGGTGATTGACAAGCCACAAAAGGTTGAGTTTTTGTTTTATTAGATTTACCACCCAAGACACAAGAGTCAAGGCTACTACAGTTAAGGGAATACCCTCAATTGTAGTCTAGTGAATCTAGTATTCAATGAGGCTACTAGATTTTTTGGTGCTTTAGAGGTGTAAAATGAATTTGAACCTCAAACGTCTTGATTGTGGTTAATGGAACAAGATAATAGTATGCTTGTGCAACAGCCATGATAGTGTTTGTAAAAAAGTTGAAGTAACACAACTTTACAGCAATAGGACAGAGGACAACTAGAGCAGGTCCAATAACATTTTCAATGCAAATTCAGACATTGTCTAAAAGAGAAAGGGCATTATTAGAAAAACCAGCTTGAATTAAAATTGTATAACTTTTTGATGAGATTGGAGTATAAAGTTGTATCATCAGCGAATCGTACCACTTTAGAAGTAATATTAGAAAGGTCATTATTATAGATAAGGAACAACACAAGGCTGAGGATAGAACTTAATGATACTCTAGAAGTTACTATAAATTGGCAAAGTGTTGTCTTTCAAAGGTAATTTTATTACTGCAGTTAGAAAAAAATGGTTTAAAAATTTTATAAACATTCCCAGATACACCATATAAAGTGAGCTTATGGAGAAGATAAGCATTCCGGACTTTATTGAAAGTGAAATCATGACTTAATCTTTTTATTCATTTATGCAAGACTTTAAATGTATAAGCTATTCAATAATGTAAAGGGACACATGCGCTACAAACTTGATAAATTATCATGCTTCTCTTTTAAAAGTATTTTGTATAGAAAGTCTTTGATATATCAAGAATAATAGTCCTTTCTATCATCTAACGTACGATAGATGTTGCTATTATAACAGATAACAAGTTAACAATAAAAGAAGCAAATCAAAATCTATATTAGTTGTCAGAAAGTAATTTGTTTGACTCAATCAGATAATAAATATTTGACATTAGAATTGTTGAGAAGTATTTGTGAACAGCTTAGAGAGCAGAGAAGAGAACTATTGAGAATACTTTATTTAAGACTTTAGTAAGAATGTTAGTTAGATATAACTTTAGCAATTCAAGGAAACGAACTAGAGAAAAAGTTTTCTTGTAAATAGTTCTGTTAAAGCTTTTCCTTAAGTCTCTTGAACCTCATTGAATTAAATTAAAATCTCAATGGTAACATATAAGCTACATGAGAACAAACCATACCTTCATGTAACATAGCTTAAGACATCAGTTTTACAAAAAGATTTAAAAAAAAATTATGATTAGAAGTAGCAAATAGCATAAGAATGAAACTGGAGAAGAGTGAGGTCTAACTTTAAACTGACAAGAAGGAATAAAAGCTTCCATTCCCACTTAAGTCCAGGAGATTATAAAGGTTTTAGCTGAAAATTTTTTTTTTTAGCAGAAACCAAAGATATCAACCAAAAATCATCACAAAGAAAATTATGAAATGAATCCAATAATAAGGTAGTACTAAGAAGCTCAATGATTGGCTGAATCTGATGTAGTAAAAGTATGTGTGTTCTTTATATATCCTCAACGATATACTCCAAAAGCACTTACTAGGACATTTTAGAGTCAAGATCTAGCTGTATCCATGTGTAGAGTCAACAAGATTTAGACAATAGCTGGATTCAGTTAACATCTGTCCAAGATGAGTATTTTTATTGAGACACTATCTCTAGCTTATTGATACACTCTCTCTAGAACCCAAAACCAGAAGAATTTTGAGTTTATTTCTCTTAACCTTTGTCTAAAAAAGCAAGTTCTACAAGGCAGTAGGACATAAGGCAGGTTGTACTATATTATATTTTACCAGTAATAGGATGATGATTCCAATATATTTTGATGATCCTAATCCTGGCCTGAAATCATGACTGAAGTTAATTTTTTGTTATTTTTTTCTACTTATGCTTTGTTTAAATATATAAGTTATTTAGTTTTGGAAAAGGACCTGTTCAAATTAAACTTGATAAACTACTATGCTTCTCTTATAAATGTATTTGATGGAGGCAAAATTTACCTATATAGAATGCACATGTTTAATTAGGTGAACATAGTTAAATTATCATTTTTGATTTGTTTGTGATTTAAAAACTAGAAAACGTGATTTATTTAAAAAGTCTGTTGTTTGTATTGTGCTACAAGCAATTTTTGAATATTATGTTAGGAACATATAGTTGCATGAATATTAATGCTATAGTTGCACATAGACTATTATATGATTATTATATGTTATTATGATTTGTTGCACAGTGATTTGTTAACCTTCACAACAGAATGGTTTTATTGTATGTTTTATTTGATTTTAAATGGTTTCATTGTGTGTTTGATAGAAATAATGAGGCTAGAGCTATTACTTTTTGATAGGGCAATTGACGTTAAAAGCCTTTTATAAAATCTGAAATGCTGGTCTTTTCCATAACCTTTAGTTGTATCGTGTATTTTAAAAAGTTTGTTTTAAATAGTTAAATTAATCTAATTGCAATAATAAATTTGTACTTGATGGATATTCTTCCCACAGACAAATTTCCATTCTTGTTCGCATTGTTTTTCATCTCCATTAATGACCTTCCTGACAATTTTACCTAAAAGTGTATTTACTGATGATACAACCATATACTTTAATCTTGATGAAAAGTTCCAAATATCTGTTGCCTGTTGCTTTTACATCACTGTTAGATACATTTTTTAAAAATACAGTTATTTTATATTTTATATGATTATTATATATGTCATTATACGTTATTGTATAATCAAAAAAATTTATTTATATATATTACTATTTCTATATATATGATTTAATGATGAATAATATTATTAAAAACGAATGATTATGGCATAAAATTTTTGTTTTTAATAATGATATTTTTTTTTAGTTTCCTTTGTTATCATGAACTTTTTCCAGGTTAAATTTTCTTTTAATTTTTTTTGTTAAGTTTTGTGTAAAATGTTTGATTATTATATTTAAGTAGTATTATTGGTAATGAAAAGTTTTATTTCTTTTTATCATCTAAATTCTAATAATTTGATTCTAATAATTTAATAATTTGACTAAAATTGCAATAGTATGTATTAAAAAAAAATTTTAAAAAATAAATAAACCTTCTTGACTGTAAAGGCTTTAGAACCTTGAGAGGCAATAATAATAATAACAATAATATATATATTTTTTTAATTATTCACATCCCCAATGCTAAGAAGGCCACCACAGTCGAGGAGGCTACTTATGTGGTTACAACACTCTCTCAACTCTATAACTGCAAAAAAGTGTTATTTAAATAAACAAAGTCCTAAGCTTAATTTTCATCATTTGGAACCTAAATAATGTTTGTAGCTTTTTTTATAATGCATTTATGATTATTTTTATTTTTTTAATCCATAAAAATTTTGACACTCGAACCCAGGTGGCTCAGCTAAAATTGGTAATCACTAACTTTTTACTTTATAAATGTGTTTCAGAAATCAAAAGCTAGGTATTAGAATGGAACACCATATATATATATATATATATATATATATATATATATATATATATATATATATATATATATATATATATATATATATATATATATATATATATATATATATATATATATATATATATACATACATATATATATATATATATATATATATATATATATATATATATATATATATACAATATAGCTTTTATTAACCTATATACATATATATATATATATATATATATATATATATATATATATACAATATAGCTTTTATTAACCTATATACATGCATGAAATATATATATATATATATATAATATATATATATATAAATATAATATATAATATACATATATAATATATAATATATATATATAATATATAATATATAATATATAATATATAATATATAATATATAATATATATATATATATATATATATATATATATATATATATATATATTAGGTATATGATAAGTTTTAAATAATTAGCCTGGGGTTCTAAATGATGAACTTTTGCCTATAAATCACAAAAATGACATTGATTTCACCATACCTTGAAAAAACTTCCCGCACCTAAGACAGTTTCATATTTAACCATACAATACATAGCAGCCCAAAAACTGTTAATTATAATATGTCAACTTTATATACAATACACATGAGAAATACATGAGAAATACACTCTCCTACAGCATTTGTAGTGATGTTAATAATCTTTCAGATTTGTGTATTAGTATTAATAAATTTACAGTTAAGATATTTGTTTGTTCTGCAAGAAGAACGAATGTCCCCCATCAACTTTACAGCTCTCTCGGCTACTATCTTGGTTTGAGGCACATCAAGCACTGATGGTTCCTTCTTCCAGTGGTTAGAGAAGCATTTTGCAGTTTTGGAACACTTAAGTTGGGATATTGCTGACAGCAGGTCTTCATAAGCCGCCTCTGCATAGTGCTGGTTTGAAAACCAGGCCTGCGACCATATAGTTGCAACGAAATTGCAAGTTATCCTCAGCTGTTCTCGCCAGTTTGGAAGAATGAAAAACACAATAAGCGCAAAAATGCCTCTTGAGTTCCACCTGGCACTGTGCAGTGATGGCAGCTTGTGCCATTTGATATGAGACCATTTTTCCTCATCTTTGTAAAACTTGTATGCTTCACAAAGCTGAAAAATTAATTTATAGTCATCTCTCCAGCCAAGGCTCTCATGCTCTGCTACCACTGCTGTGTCCTTGTAGGCATTTTTTAAATAATCGTAATGCTCCATAATCTCATCAATAAATTTGTAGTTAATGTTAGGCGACTGTGGCTGTATAGGAAAAAAGAAATCCAACACATGTCGTAAAACAAGATCAAGAATGTGGTGTGGTAGCCGATGTATTGAGGTTCATCGAATCCCTTGTCTCGAAATATTTTTTGAAGCTTGGCTACAACTCCAATCTTGCGACCAGTATTTACAGCTGTTGTGTCAGATGATCATCTGAATACTGTTCCATGAATTGTAATCATCATGTAGGTCCTGTAGTGGTTTATATATGCTTGCAGATGATCCACTGTCACAAACCAAAATGCCAAGTTGTAATGTTCTTTTGTCATTTTTCAAGCACACAACTTGGTACTCAGTCTTGTCAATTTTCTTACCATCAAAATACAAAGAAAATTTCTCTTCAGAGATCAGTTCCGTGAGGCGGTTTATAACTTGTTCTGCATCTCTGATTGTTTGACGCCAGACTCCAGACTGTGATGGTGTTGGGACACAAACTCCATCCTCAGCCAGACTTTAAAGCACTCGTGACGTTTTTCTGGTTGACAAAGAGTGACTAGACACTAGTTTGGCAGCAGACTTAGTTGACTGGCGTGTTGCACGCTTTCTGCGAAATTCTCCTGGAACTGCCTTCGAGTCACCACTGCTGCTTCCTTCCTCAGAATCCTCACTATCGCAGGAAAGTGGTACGGAGATAACCGTTTGGTTTGTCGAGGGTTCTGATGTGCTTTTGGCCCTTTTTGATGGATGGGTTGTTGACATAGGAGCCACTTACATAGTTGTATATCCCACCCTGCCATCTGATTCAATTTGCACTTTGTACAGTTGTTTGTCCTCACTACAAAGCCAATTTCCATCTGATTTTGTTATATCGAACAGATGAGAAAGATTTTCTTCAAATACTGCATTTGGTCACTTTCTGTGTTTCTCAAATGATGTGATGAGTTTGTAAACATTAGCAGACACTTGTTGTTTGGAAAGAACAGGAAAATTAAACTTCTGCCAAAGATTCATCAATTCCTCTAATATTTTTGTTAGTCGATCATGTTGATCATGTCCTTTCAATTCATTAAAGTGTCCCAAAAATCTTCCAACGATATCTCTGTTAGAAGGCATTTTACACAATTTGTCGCTCATATCCTGTTTTTACCTGTGGTATATTTCGTGCTTGATTTCAAATTTTGTGTCCATATTTCACCAGCTGCTTCCACTGCTAATTTTGACTTTTTACTTTTAAAGGACATATTTTCAAAAAGAAGCACTAAACAGCAGATTTTGCAAATTAATACTGCAAATAATGAAAAAACTTTTTAAATACTTCTGCTCAATATTTTAATTGCGCGAACATTAAAAAATACTCAACAACAAACAACAACAAACACGCATTAATTTGAAAAACAGTCGTTAAAATTTGTTATTCAAAATTGAGTTACATAACATAAAAACAATTTAAAACTATCGAACTTTTTCATTTTATGTTAATTAACTTTTTAAACTGTTTGACGCTCTCCAACTTGTAGTTATATTCAAGCATAGTCAAGCATAGTCAAGCATAAGGAAGTAAGAACTGGGAACAAAATCAAGTGAAAAATCGAAAAAGTGGTGAGTTGCTAGGTGCGGGAGGTTTTTTTGTGATCCAATGAAATAAACCTCAAAACAGTGATCTATTGGTAAAAGTTCATCAAATGCAACATCAAGAAAATTAAAATTTTGAAAAAAGTTTTTTTGTCATATACCTAATATATATATATATATATATATATATATATATATATATATATATATATATATATATATATATATATATATATATATATATATATATATATATATATATATATATATATATATATATATATATATATATATATATATATATATATATATATATATATATATATATATATATATATATATATATATATATATATATATATATATATATATATATATATATATATATATATATTAGGTATATGACAAAAAAACTTTTTTCAAAATTTTAATTTTCTTGATGTTGCATTTGATGAACTTTATATATATATATATATATATATATATATATATATATATATATATATATATATATATATATATATATATATATATATATATATATATATATATATATATATATATACATATATATATATATATATATATACATATATATATATATATATATATATATATATATACATATATATATATATATATATATATACATATATATATGTATATGTATATATATATATATATGTATATATATATATATATATATATATATATATATATATATATATATATATATATTTTATGCATGTATATATGTTAATAAAAGTTATTTTTTTAACGAGTATTTACCCATTTTTTCAGGTTTTTCAAACACAACATTATGCTAAAACTGTTTGTAACAAAATCTATAAGTATTCTTTGAAATAAAAAATAAACAAACAAAAAAAACTCAAACAAAATAAAAAACTCAAGATGAAGATTATTTTATCACAAAGTCTAATACATTTGTTGTTTCCGTGTTATTTATTTGAAATGTTGGTTGATTTATATTTTGAGTTAGGATACAATCATTCAATGCATCTAAAAACCTGTTTTTAGTAATATTCAGGTCAGTGGTTGAGCCAATGTTTTTGTCACTCCATTTGATTTTTGAGTAAATAAAGTTACCACGTGTAAGTAAACCTGAGTATTGATTTTTTTCTAACAATTTATAGGAGTGCTTTATTGAATCTACAATTTGCTTGTTATTTTTCTTACTACAACTTTCTACTCTAAATTAGTAGTAGTAGTAGTACTGTTGACAGTCGGAGAACTGTTTACTTTATCTGGAAGCATGTTCCATGCCTTTTTTTGGTTGCTGTACTTTTCACGATGAAAAGTCTTTCTCTATGATTTGCTCTTGGTGGAATTGTGATAAGGGGAAAGTGCCAGTTGACTATGTCAATGCTATTAAAAATTATCTATTTTTGGATGAGGTCACCTCGTTTGCGAAACTCAATTGCGACACTGGAGTAGATAGGCCAAGTTGTAAACATCTGGACTTGTAGTCTAACTTTTTTAGTTTGTCTGGTATTTTTTTGATTCTGTGCTGTATTAGCTCAATAGTTTGTTCATCCTTCACCAAATGAGGTTCCGAACTGGAATTGCAAACT